CAGCGCCTGACTCAACGTCGGCAAACATATTTCAACCATTCATCGCTGCAGATTTGACATCTTCGCAGCGTTCACAACTCCTCACCATTCTTGAGAGCTACCGCCATTCTTTCGACGTTGAAAAAAACATCTGTCGGCCGTGCCTTAGCAGTAGAACACCACATCGACACTGGGTCCCACTCACCGCTGCGACAACGACCATATCGCGTGTCGCTACTAGAACGCCGCGTCATTGCTGACCAAGTAGACGACATGCTTCGCAGAGGCGTCATTCGACCTTCACAGAGCCCATGGGCGTCTCCGGTGGTTCTCGTTCAAAAGAAAGACGGTTCTATTCGTTTCTGTGTCGATTTCCGGCGATTGAACAAGATCACGCTGAAGGATGTCTATCCACTACCGCGCATTGACGATGCTTTGGACAGTTTGCAGGGTGCCGAGTTCTTTTCCTCGTTAGACTTGCGGTCAGGCTACTGGCAGGTGCCTATGGCGGAGGCCGATCGCCCCAAAACCGCTTTTGTCACGCCAGACGGCTTATATGAATTCACCGTCATGCCCTTCGGACTTTGCAATGCACCTGCAACGTTCGAACGAATGATGGACAACATCCTGCGTGGACTAAAATGGAAGATATGCTTGTGTACCTCGATGATATCGTGGTCTTCGCCCCTAACTTTGACACACACTTACCGTCGCCTTCAGCACGTCCTTACTTGCTTAACTAACGCCGGTTTGCAATTAAACCTCAAAAAATGTCGATTTGCCATGCGTCAACTGAACATTTTGGGCACGTTGTTTCCAAGGAAGGCATCCTCCCGGATCCCGAGAAATTGCGAGCTGTTACGGCGTTTCCTAAACCTGCCACCATCAAAAACTTCGAAGTTTCATCGGCGTGTGTTCGTATTTCCGGCGATTCATCCGAAACTTCGCGTCTATTATATCACCTCTCACGCAAACTTCTCAGCAGCTGTAAAGACCTCTTATCGTGGTCCCCTGCCTGCGACGAGGCTTTCACCACCCTTGCGACGGCTTCTACGACGCCACCCATTCTACGCCATTTCGATCCTGAAGCTCCAACTGAAATCCACACCGACGCCAGTGGTGTAGGCCTGGGTGCTGTGCTCGCACAGCGTAAACCGGAGCATCAGGAATACGTCGTGGCATACGCTAGTCGCACACTTACCAAGGCTGAGAGCAACTACAGCGTCACAGAAAAGGAGTGCTTGGCCATTGTGTGGGCCCTTGGAAAGTTTCGCCCATATCTATATGGTCGTTCTTTTGACGTCGTGACCGACCACCACGCGCTGTGCTGGCTTTCGACGTTAAAAGACCCATCTGGCCGCCTCGCTCGCTGGGCGTTGAAAATTCAAGATTACGACATACGCGTGGTTTATCGGTCAGGACGGAAGCATGCTGACGCCGACGCCCTTTCCCGTTCCCCCCTGTCCCAGAATGCCACAGCTGACTCCGCTTGCGATTCCACATTGTCATCGCTTGACTTTGACACCATTGCTATCGAACAACGCAATGACCCGTGGACTGCGTCTCTCCTCAATCATCTCTCCGACACTTCTGAACTCCCAAAGACGCGAACGCTTCGGCGCCAAGTTCCACACTTCTCGATACGTGACACGCTTCTCTATCGACGCAACTACGCACCAGAGGGACGCAAGTGGCTGCTCGTCGTTCCACGAACCCTGAGGTCGCAGATTTGTTCCTCTTTCCACGCTGACCCACAATGTGGCCACGCAGGAGTCTTCAAGACCTACGAAAGGCTTCGACATCGCTACTACTGGCGTGGTATGTGTACCTTCGTCCGCAACTTCGTCCGCTCTTGTGCCGAATGTCAGCGCCGAAAATCTCCACCACACGCCTCCGCCGGTGAACTGCAGCCTTTACCATGCCCTTCCCGACCCTTCGAACGGGTTGGAATAGATATTTATGGGCCACTTCCATTGACTCCGACTGGCAACAGGTGGATAATAGTTGCTATCGACCACCTAACGCGCTATGCTGAGACCGCTGCTCTTCAAATGGCTACAGCACAGGAGGTTGCCACTTTCCTACTGCGTCATTTTGTGTTGCGTCATGGAGGCCCTCAAGAACTCCTCAGTGACCGCGGCCGCGCCTTCTTGTCCGAGGTCATTGAAAAATTGCTCGCTGAGTGTGCTATTGTACATCGCACATGTACCGCTTACCACCCTCAAACCAATGGGGCTACCGAGCGCTTTAATCGTACTCTCGGTGACATGCTATCTATGTATGTGACGCCTGATCACTCTAACTGGGACTTAGTTCTCCCATTCATTACATACGCCTATAATACGGCAACGCAAGCGACAACAGGCTTCTCCCCTTTTTACCTCCTCTACGGCCGTCACCCCTCCCACACCATTGACACCATTTTGCCCTATCGACCAGACGCGTCCGAGTGCCTACCGATCTTGGACGCCGCCAGACACGCAGAAGAATGCCGCCAGTTAGCTCGTCGCTTTACCTGCGATGACCAAAACAGGCAAAAAGCAATTCATGATGCCCAGACCTCAACTCCCGTTTTTCTTCCGGGTTCTCTTGTATGGCTGTCAGTGCCGCATCGCACACCTGGGCTCTCTTCCAAACTTCTGCCAAAGTACGATGGGCCATATCGTATTGTCGAACAAACTTCGCCAGTAAACTACCTCATTGAGCCTCTTACGCCACCATCAGACTTGCGACGTCGCAACCGCGAGGTTGTACACGTCCAGAGGCTCAAGCAATACCACGGTTCAACGCCGCCTGCCCAGGACTAAGTCGCCAGGATGGCTCCTTTTTTCTCCGTGGGGCCATTGTAAAGAAGAGGAAGTACTCCGGCGCAGAGGCAGCAGCATCGAGTGTGCAGCAGCGGCTCGAGCTCGGAAATTGCGGCTGGTGCATCGCCTTCCAAGCCTTCCAAGCACAACCTTTCTGCTTAATAAATCTCCTTTATAATATATATATATATATATATATATATATATATATATATATATATATATATATATATATATATTATATATATATATATAATATATATATATATATTATATATATAATATATATATATATAATGAGATCTAACAGACAGTAATGCCAAGGAATGTACAGAGGCAGTTATTAAAACCAATTGAATGTAAATAAGAAGAAAGAAAGTGGATGAAAAAATAACCAGCCGTGAGCAGGAATCAAACCTACGACCTTCGAATAACGCGTTCGATGCTCTAACTACTGAGCGACCACAGCGGCCTTCCCTCCATCCACTTTTTGGGTTTAGACAGTAATGCCAAGGAATGTACAGGGGAAGTTATTAAAACCAATTGAATGTAAATAAGAAGAAAGAAAGTGGATGAAAAATTTTTTCAACCCCTTTTCTTTCTTCTTATTTACATTCAATTGGTTTTAATAACTTCCCCTGTACAGTCCTTGGCATTACTGTCGGTTAGATATCATTAATGTGTTAAAACACGGAAAAACGAGCCCTTAGGTATACACTTCTTTCCCTTATTTCATTGATCGAGGGTCTCGTAATGGCAGACTTGGTGTGTTTAGGTTGTATAAGAGGACAATTAATCAGCTGCCCACTCATAATAAGTTCACGTGCTACGTGACGCCAAACATGCGCATAAGAGTGCTTTCACACTCGTCGTTTGGCTTATAGATGGCGCTGACTGTCACTCGTACTTCTAAATTCACATATAACCCAAAAAAGCGGATGGAGGGAAGGCCACTGTGGTAGCTCAGTGGCTAGAGCATCGAACGCGTTATTCGAAGGTCGTAGGTTCGATTCCTGCTCACGGCTGGTTATTTTTTTCATCCACTTTTCTTTCTTCTTATTTACATTCAATTGGTTTTAATAACTTCCCCTGTACATTCCTTGGCATTACTGTCGGTTAGATCTCATTATAAGGTGTTAAAACACGGAAAAACGAGCCCTTAGGTATACACTTCTGTCCCTTATTTCATTGAACGAGGGTCTCATAATGGCAGACTTGGTGTGTTTAGGTTGTATAAGAGGGACAATTATTCAGCTGCCCGCTCATAATAAGTTCACGTGCTACGTGCCGCTAAACATGCGCATAAGAGTGTTTTCACACTCGTCGTTTGGATTATAGATGGCGCTGACTGTCACTCCTACTTCTAAATTCACATATAAACCCAAAAAAGTGGATGAAGGGAAGGCCGCTGTGGTAGCTCAGTGGTTAGAGCATCGCACGCGGCATTCGAAGGTCGTAGGTTCGATTCCTGTTCACGGCTGGTTATTTTTTTCATCCACTTTTCTTTTTTCTTATTTACATTCCATTGGTTCTAATAACTTCCCCTGTCCACTTCTTGGCATTACTGTCTGTTAGATCTCATTAATATTGTGTTAAAACACGAAAAACGAACCCTTAGGTATACACTTCTTTCCCTTATTTCATTGATCGAGGGTCTCGTAATGGCCGACTTGGTGTGTTTAGGTTGTATAAGAGGGACAATTATTCAGCTGCCCGCTCATAATAAGTTCACGTGCTACGTTACGCCAAACATGCGCATAAGAGTGTTTTCACACTCGTCGTTTGGCCCATAGATGGCGCTGGCTGTCACTCCTCCTTCTAAATTCACATATAAACCCAAAAAATGTGGATGGAGGGAAGGCCGCTTTGGTAGCTCAGTGGTTAGAGCATCGAACGCGTTATTCGAAGGTGGTAGATTCGATTCTGTTCACGGCTGGTTATTTTTTCATCCACTTTTCTTTCTTCTTATTTTACAATCCATTGCGTTTTAATAACTTCCCTGTACATTTCTTGGCATTACTGTCTGTTAGATCTCATTATATTGTGTTTAAAACACGGAAAACGAGCTCTTATGTATACACTTCTTTCCCCCTATATATATATATATATATATATATATTATATAATATATATTATATATATATAATATATATATAGATATATATATATATATATATATATTTGAGCAAGTCTTTAGAAGCGCCTTGCACTTACCTCAAGTACGTCAGAACAGAATCCACGTCCGTCAGATTGTCGTTGTCTCGCTGGAACATTCTAGCACGTGGGCATTTGTCGTATGTGTACAAGTCACCGTATTTCTTGACAGTCTCTGGTTGCGCGGTCATTTCGAATGTCTCTGGAAAGAATCTTTTAAAAACAAAAACTAAGCCGTCACTATTGCTTTACTTGAGTATGAAAGTACTTCCCACATTTCAAAACATGTCGAAACATTAATTTTTCATTTCATCGTTGTTTATTAAGACAAAATAACATTTCCTAGGTTGAAGGGACACATTACCTCAGCCTGACTTTAGTCCCTACACCCATACATTCGCTGAGATGCAGTGGAAACGAAATATACATATTTCCTTTTTTTTTTAAGAAGGGACACAAAAATGAAATTCAATAAGTATAACGGATGTCAAAACACGTACTTTAAAATGACACGTTAAAATCAACAACTTGCTTATAGCAAGATAAATAAATATGCAAAAAAGTGAAACCTAGAGAACTTTTAGTTGAAAGAATAAGTACTATATGGAAATATACATTTGAAAAAAAGACAACCTAGCGAGTTTTACACAGATATACAAAAGCAGAAAGAACCCTAAAAGGAATATTAATAATAAATAGTATGATTAGGGTACGACATGTAAAAATACATCTGCACTTTCTGTCTTCACACTGCTTTTCACATTACATTGTACCATAGTCTTTTAATACTTTCTCAAACGTATTGAAGGACTATGATTGTACTAAACGTTAACGAGCATAGCTATTGTTCTGTAGTAAATAAGGTATTTGATATTATAAGGTTTGCTTACCATAAGTTGACCTGAATAAAGGAAGTCGAAAACTGTCATAGCGTAAACCACATTTTAACACAATTTTAACGAGGTCTACATTTTGAGTACGTGCCCAGCCAGAATGCAAATTAAGCTAAGGCCTCGGTACAACTGGTTCGCGGCACGTACATAGGCATATGAAAATTCGCCGAAGCGAGCCTTCCCCCACCTCACCCCAAGCTTTGCCGGGCGCAGGCCACCACCCGGCGTCTATTGCAAACCAACACGTATCCCTCACCAGGCCACCTCCACCTCACATTCCCGGACCTTTACACTACTCCCAACTGCCGGTACTGTGGCACTCACCCGGCTGCACTTCCGCATATGCTGTGGGAGTTTCCGGCACGTTACACACACAGTAGCACCACGACCTCTCGTCGAGGGTGCGTGAGGCTCTGCGGAGCTCTGCCCTACATGACCAAACAAGAATGACACAGCGTACCCGTAAGGCAGCGTCGAGGCAAGGCCACTGACGTTACCTCGTGGGACGGGTAGGCCCGGCCGCCTTAACTTGCTGTTTTTTTTACTAATAATGTTCATGCCTAATTCTCGGCCCTAAGCCTCACTAGGCTTAAAACAGTGATACCGGAAAATTCTGAAAACTAGTCTGGTTGTTTCTAGGTAGTTCGTGACCTTCGCTGGATTAATGCAGGTCGTTTCTACGTTTCTTCTAAATTATGGCTATTCTTTAGCTAGGTATACTGCTAGCCCCGCCGCGGTGGTCTAGTGGCTAAGGCACTCGGCTGCTGACCCGCAGGGCGCGGGTTCAAATCCCGGCGGCGGCGGCTGCATTTCCGATGGAGGCGGAAGTGTTGTAGGCCCGTGTGCTCAGATTTGGGTGCACGTTAAAGAACCCCAGGTGGTCTAAATTTCCGGAGCCCTCCACTACGGCGTCTCTCATAATCATATAGTGGTTTTGGGACGTTAAACCCCACATATCAATCAATAGGTATACTGCTAGGTTATTTCGGCGTTGGCTCTGCACTAATAGGTGTGACTTCAACCACAGACAGTCAAACGCATGGCACAGGCATTCAAACTCAAGGCATAAATCCACCCTGTAGCCAAGCGTTTGCAAGTCAGATAGATGTACGGGCCACAATCCTTCGCGACGGCTTTCCACCGCTTTCTGTGGCACACTCTAAAAAAATCGGGCATTTAGGGATTATTTCTGCTATGCAACTATAATAGTTATCTGCTTCACGTACTTTCCTTTCGTTGTCACCACTGTTTCGATAGTTCACCGTGACGAACAGCGCGCGCGTAGTTGGTGTGACATGACATTCTTGACAGGAACGTGATTGATTGATATGTGGGGCTCGACGTCTTAAAACCACCATATGATCATGAGAGGTGCTGTAGTGGAGGGCTCCGAAAATTTCGACCTCCTGGTGTTCTTTAACGTGCACCCAAATCTGAGCACATGGGCCTACAACATTTCCGCCTCCATCGGAAATGCAGCCGCTGCAGCCGGGATTCAATCCCGCGATCTGCAGGTCAGCAGCCGAGTATCTTAGCCACTAGACTACCGCGGCGGGGCCACAGGAACGTGGTCAGAGCCGGGTTTTCAAGAACAGGAACGCGAGCAAGTCAGATGACAATGATTATTGCGGGGCAGAAGTACTCCCCAAATACTCTACTATTTCTTAGAGCGCAGATACCCCTTGACAATGATAACAATTTTCTAGATTGGCTCACAAGAAACAGCTTGGGAAATAACTTTACCATTAAAACGCCTTTATTGTTTCAGGTTTTTCAAGTGTGTTGTCTCATGTCTCGTTTCAGAGCGGAATCAAAGTCCTTGTTTAACGCTTATGAATGCAGCGAGAACTCTCAGATACCAAAGTATTCTCACCTTGCTCTAGATCTGATTGGAAACGTCCACAAAACACACGTAATATTCTTGACACAAAGAGTTACTCACGCTACGTTGTAACCAGGCCAATATTTCTTTTGACGAAGACCGTGGCTTATGTCTTCATACTTCGAAAAGCCTCTGTAAATAAGAACAACGAAAAGGCTCACCGACAACGATGATGCTGCCTAACGCGAATTCTCCGGGTAGCTTCGTGTTAAGACAACGCAATCTGTGGTCGAGGCACGCTATCTAAATTATTGTGTTAAATTTTCAATAAGCCTATAACACGAGATCACCACACTATATAGTGTCCTGCTCACGAAGGTCTTGAGGGGAACGTCATGCCAGACCACATTGCTCCAGGCTTCTCCGACCAAGCGACGGCCGGCACTGTCGTTGAACCCATTTCTTATCCACGTGACATCCTTCTCCATCAAAGGGAGCAAAAACGAGAGTACAACCTTCAGCATAAAGACTTGGGTAGCCGACAAAACATAGATCGGAGACGCATACAAACCAATAGCTTTCCAAATTTGTACCACCTATGCAGAACATAGCCCACGTGATTTAAAGACACACGTCCATGGTGTTTAGACACACCGACACTCGACAACATAACAATATAGTGCACCAAGAGGCCCGCACACATCGATAACTCGCACGTTACTTCAAGCAGAGCCAAATAGCTTTGCTTCACCAGGCCAAGTGAGCCGCTCGGGCTAGCAGAGCCCTGCACTGAGGGCTCTACCACAAATATCTGCGTATACCATTTCTTTTTTTTTTGTGAATGAAGTTTCTTCCTCCTCCTCCTCCTGCTCTAAAGTTTTGGATATCTGTAGTTGTCGCGCTGTAATGTTCGTTACATATTCTCACAGGACCTCCAAGCGGTCGAGTGTTGCGCCTGTAGCGTAGCACTAGTGGCGGCCAACCGGCTAGAGAAAAAGACCAGCGCATGTTCGTAGGCTTCTAGCTGGCTTGACGCCACGGCCGTCGCTCTACTTCAGCAGCTCGCTTCCTCCTGTACGTCCCGTCTTTTCAGTTAACTTGCGAAAACGGCACGTCTACGTCGGACACCGTCACGTCGCCCACAATTGCACGCTCGCAACCCACCCGTATTCTCCAACCTTCACATTTCGCGATCCATCTGGCGTGACCCCGGATATCGTCTCCCCCGCTATTCGCACTCCTATCGCGGATTCTTCGCTGTCTACGATGTCTGAAGGCAACTTTCTATCTGCATCAGCATTCCGCTCGTCCTGCCAGCTGCCGCTATCATCGCCTTCGATGTATCCTGCAGCAAAAGCTCATGCCCCTCACCAAACACGGCCAAACATGCGAGATGTTGCAACCACGACTGAGGCGCGTGCGTACGACGTTCCTGACCCGCGTATGGCCGAACACGCATCTCATTTCGCACTTGCCACAGAGCCAGCCATTGGCCGCGTCGACCTGCGCATGAGCCCTCGTGCAGCGACAACCGAAAAGGCTTCTACGAGTCCAGGGGCGCCGACTGACCCTCCTCCAGAATGCACTTTCACTCTGTTCCGTGACAAGACTTCAACCTAGCTCTCGACAAGGTGCACGCATCAGCAAGCTTATAACTCGAATACAGACATTACCTTTGACACATCGCAAACCTCGTCTACCTAGGCCCGTACCCACCTTACCATACCCACCATTACAGGCATTGTGTGTAGCATGATCATTCGAACACTGCGTTTCCGTGTCAGTCAACTCGTATACTCGTGTCAATACGCCAGCTGCAATAGAACGCAGAAGGTGTCATTGCACCACTACCGACTTCAACACTAGTTTCACCGACCAGCTGCCAACGTTATCGGCCGAACCGGTACTTCTACGGGCAGCTTTCACAGCTGCGTCCGCTCGCGTTACCTGATGTGCTCACGAACGCAGCCACCAAGCAATCATGGGACCTGCCTGTCTATAACAACGCCCCGGTGTCTTCATCTTCGGCCACTACGTTTTTCGCAGTGCCGCCCACCGGAACTGTGAGACTCCTCCGTACGCCTTCCACCCTGACAGCATTCGGACTTCCAAGTGGACTATATGTGAACCGCCGCTCATGTACATAGTTTTTATATGTTCTTCATGCCCTTTCTTCATGAATGGTCTATCGCGTAACAAGCTAGGCGGGGAGCCCTTGTAGCGTAGCGCTAGTGGCGGCCAACCGGCTAGAGAAAAAGACGACGAGCGCTGGTGACGCGTGGTGCCTGGAATGTTGTGGGCCTTTAGCTGGCTAGACGCCACTGCCACTGCTCTACTTCAGCAGCTCGCTTCCTCCTGTATGTCTCGTCCTTTCATTTAACCTGCGACGACGGCACGTCTACGTCGAACACCGTCCTGTTGCTACACGCCCACCACTCTGTGCATTGCACACGCTGCCAATCAAGCGAAACAGCAA